AAACAAAAAAAAAAAAAAGAATGAACGAACCAGAAATGTAGAATACATTTTACCACATGCTCATTTTTCGAGAAAAATGTGATTTGATATGCGAATAATGAAATGTGATTTTATACTATGTATGTGAAAGTAGTTAAACGTGTGTGTTTATTCGATTGCATATCAGTATTATATAAATTTTGTCGACACGTGTACGTAAGATAATATAGCGAGAAACATACATTCGATTACAATATTGTTATGCAACCTTTTAAATTTTTATATTTTTATAATGCTAAACATTGCTATCTCGTCTCCTTGTTGTTCTTTTTTTTCATTTCGATTTCTCGAAATAATAAGATATCAATAAATACATCGATATCAGTAGCTTATGGCTAATATTGGTTCAGTTTGTAATTTATTATCACAAACACAAAATGTACGTACGAACAGCTTTTTTTCTTAACATAGCATTGATAGTACGGGAGAATGTTGAGATATCTAAATTAATGGCTTAAGAATTGATTAAATTCGGAGTAAGTTACGGAAGGCGTCAGGCTATTTTGAAAGTCTGTTTATCGTCCCGGTTCTAAATCCCACTCGTGTATACAACGTGTTGGCAGCTCGTATTTCATGCCGTTTTACGTCTTGTGTATGTTTTACATACATTTTACGCAGGAACATGAAATGTTATTTGCAGAATTTATTATACGACGTAACTGATGACGATATCGTACGGAATTGGACGTTCCGGGCATTACACGGAAATTAATGACGTCACATGTGAAACATCCTTCCCATCTTTCACTTCCCAATCAATCTGATGCCGCGTACATTTAAGATTTATCTTAAAATTATCGCGATTCAAATTTGGACAACAATTCCGTTGCAGCGTAATGATTTTGCATGCTTGTTTAAAGTAATTTCAAATATTTCAAATTTTAAATTTTTGATCGTATTTACAGTACTGCAAATATATATAATATGTTTTACGTTATCAATCTTTGTGAGCAATATTGATTTATAACGGTGACGTAATAAGAAAACTTTATTTATATCTGGCATGCAGAACATTAACATGCGTTTGTGACGTATCGAATTCGACTTAATGTAATACACAGGTCGGAAATACGCGCATGTGGCGTTCGAACAAGAAATTCGATTGCATCATTAAAGAAATTCAAATTTGTGGATTAAATTTTATCGACAAATTCTTTTTCCTTTTTAAGGAAGTTTGAAGCTTTTATGTTATATTATTTTTATTTTATGTTATATTATTTTAATGTAGTTCCGCGTGAGGCCACATTATCGGCTTATAAAGAATACGGTTATTTTTGAAGATTTGCTCAAATATCAAAGTTCGCCCATCCATATTATTCCGATGAAACGCCGGAAGTTTTCAGCAATATTCAACTAATGTTAAATTTAATCTGTAAATTTCTAATATCTGCCCCTGGCACGTTTCGTTTGTATCTCTCAAAAAATATAAAATTTTTAGGAAAAGTCTTTAATAATTTTGGAATTATCAGTCCTGCAATTTACTGCGAATTATTCACACTCCGATAATAAACATTTCAACTTATACAATAAATATATCTGTTACATGATATAATAATCGCATTGAAAAATTATATCTCAACAACCGTGAAAAATAAAAATCAATATTACGTTGTTTGTAATGATTTAATACTAGAAAATGCAATTAAATTTGTCTGTACCGTTTCGATCCATGATCTGTCACATTAAATTTCGGCATGCTCGGCGACCCAATTGTTCGAGTTTGCCTCGGTCACGTGCCTCCGAAGAGATTCGCCATCTCAAAGAGGAATCGCTTTATCGGAGCGAGCGGCTAGCATAGAAAGAGGAACAGCAAAGAGAGAGAGAGAGAGAGAGAGAGAGAGAGAGAGAGAGAGAG